GAAATGTTTAAGATAATTTCCTTCAATTAGTACTGTCTATACCATAAAGAAATAGAAATCTGTAGAATAAACACAAAGTTAAAAGCCTGTTAAAACTAGTAAGTCAAATCCATTCATCAATAAAGTAAGGGGCAGGGGGGATGTATAAATGAATGAAATCTTCTGTAAGAATAGAGAAATGGAAAGCAATGCTATGTACATGCTACCACTTTCATTGACAGTTGAGTGAGCAGAGAGAGCTTATCCAAACCTGCTGTCTGTCATAGATGAGCTTCCTATAGGTTGGATCCTTCCCCCTTTAATTGGGCACAGAAATCTATAGGGATGTTTCTGGGTAAGGATGAGTAAGATATTTAAGGCTAGTGCTATTTTTCAAGGCAACATGGTGCTGTTCTTACCACAGAAGTCTGAAGATTGAAATGAATTTCTGTTCTATTCAGAAATGATTCAATTGCATTTTAAAGACTTACATTTATGTCTTGCCCTTTGCTTTTATATATTTCGGGGCCAATTTTCATCTTTCATTTAAGCATCCCTGATAGAATATTGTGATATGCTTTGGCTCTAGATAGGAGAATTTGAGAAAAGATTCCTATAAAAGGAATAAGTTAAAAGTCACCTTATTTTTCCACTGTGGTACAATGAGAAGTAAGATTGGTAAGATCCAGAGGAAGGGGAAACTTCTTTCCATACACGTTGGGCCTCTGGGGCCAGCACTGATTTCAAATATGTACCAGGACTTCTCCTGTGGCCCACGGTAATCTTAGAGAACCTAAGTTATTCTGTAACAAAGAGAATGCTATAGCCAGCTTGCTTGCTGTTGATGTTGATTTTGGTCTATTTCCTTCCTCTGAGAAACAGTACAAAATAGAGCTTCTATACTCACTAACCAAGCCCACGAGTCACTCTTCACTAGCAAAATCATCTCCAATCTCTTACTACAGTTCTTCAACACCAGGAACACTAAACTCAAGAGAGTCCACAAAGCAATCTGGAACAGCTATGCCTATCCTTATATTATTGCTTTATTTTTAGTTAGGAACACAAAATGAAGTATGCAGATTTCAAAACTCACAGTATAACAGGATAAAGGGCAACAGCTCCATAATTGTGGAATAATGACAAAGAAAATAAAAAAAAATCTCAGAATGCAATGCAAGCTCACTGGGGAAGTAAATTCAATTGCACTTCCTCAGCAACATTGATCTTGAGCTCCAAGTCCTCTCATGTTGACCACCATGCATGAGTGAGGTCAGAACCTTCTCTGCTGGGATTCCTCTTCATGCCTTGACTCATGCAGACAGAACATGAGGTGCCGGCTTAACTTTATTTAAATCAATTATACCTGAAGCTGATCACAAAGCAACAGAGCACTCTTATTCAAGGAGTGAAGATGTAGAAAAGAAAAACAGGAAAACAATTGACTTCAGCAATGGCTCTCTTTAAAATGACAAGTGATAAGATTCAATAAAACTCTATTTAACTGGATGAGAAAATTAAAACAACGTCCATGCCATGTTCAAACATCAATAGGGCATTTTATCTTTAAATTCTTTCTCTTAGTATTCTATTCAATACTTGTCATCTTGCTCATAAGACTTCACTAAGGAACCATTCAAAGATGACTGCAAGAACACATTAATAGCTGCACTTGGCTTTGAACTTAACCATTGGCTTGATTTGTTGTTGTTGTTGTTGTTGTTGTTTTGCCTGTTAACAGTGCTTTCAGCTAAGTAAAAGAACTCCAAGACTCCAGAACAATCCTTGTTTGCATTGGCAGTGCTGTTTAAGCATGTTTGAAATCAGAAGAAAGAATTCCAACTGCTGTCACAGGGAAAGTGTTGATACATTCATTGTACAGAGCCACTGTTCCCTATCTGTAGTGCATACTCTCCTGTTTCAAACATGCTAATTAATCTATACTATGGCTACAACAGTTTCAGGTGGATCCTATTCAACTGATCTTACAGCAGCAATGTGTTCAAGTATTTGTTTTCCAAAAGTCCGCAGGAAAGGCTAGCTCTGGGTCACTGTAAAGGCAAGAAGTTTCAAGGACACAGGAAAGTTTTGGTACACTCTGTGGTCCAAGGGATGAAGAAAGAAAGCAAAGAGTCAAATGCAAAACTTTCTTGGTTTTCTTGCTGTTTAAGTTCAGTCTTACATCTTCCCCAATACCTCAGAAAACAGATAACACTCCTCAAAAATGAGCCCTTCACATAGCAAGTAACATAAATAATAAAATATCATTTTTTTTGCAAAATGTTATCCATTGGCTAGTTGTTATCTTTCTCAGTGGACAAGCTTCTACTCAAAGAGCTATGGTATCTTGCAGATAGCAGCCATAACATTGCCAAAGATGAACCCAAATGTACTTATCCTGTAAGCCTTGAAATGTTCTGTTCAAGAAGCCAAGACCCTGGTCATTAAAGAATATGTGGGTTAGTCTCACAAAAACAAGAGATCATCTTTAACTTCCTTCATTTTGAAGAGAGGGGGTGGGCAGAAGCAAAGGGAAATACAAATTTACTAAAGTATAGAGATAGGTGATGTGCACAAAGAAACTTCTCATCTGGGAACTTAATGCCATAATCAAAACAAGCAAACAATTTGAATGAGAGCTACTTGGGCCATACAGTGTACTATAGCAGTGCTGATAATCACACAAATAAAATACCCCATTCTTGCTAATCGGCCAAAAATATTACATAAAAAATAAACTATGTCTGTCTTTTGAATTATCATGCAGCCTACCTATTTAAACTCACTTTTTATGGAAACTAACGCTTCCTATTCTTTTCATTAAAATTTCCCTTATTGGTGCAGGTAAACTAGATCATTGATTGCTAAATCTGTGTATTTGCATTTTTAACTCTTACTCAACTTTGCTTTAAGGATTTCAAACAGAGAAAGAGCTGGACCCTAGCTACAAATCAAACAAAAACTGCTTGCACGTCTACGCAAGCACCAAGACCCTGCACATATTTCCCACCTCTCTTCCTTGAGGCTGAGAGTCCTGTCAATAATCATGACTTATTAAACAGGCTGCCATCTCTTCCCTTCTACTGAATGTAGAACAAGATCATGGAGGGGCAGAAATAATTACCTCGGGCTCTTCTTTAAAGACTGCCTCAGAATGGAGGGTAAGGAAATCAATACAGAAAGGACAGGGAAATGCCCCAATGTGTTCCCCACAGCCCAAAGGATGGGAAGTAAATCTACAATTCATTATTCACATAAACTGCTAATGAACAGATGAAAATTCTAAGGTCTTCAAGGTATATAGGAACCTATTTCAGCATGTGTTCACATGAACCACCAATCCTTTATCCCTTTACACCACTCAAGCTAGATTTGTGGACTGGAGACTCTAGCACCCTCCCTCTTCTAGAAAATGGGCTCTCAGAAATCATGCCGAGCAAAGCAAAAAGAAACTGCACAGTGCTGGGCTCTATTGCCATTCTTATTTGTAGAAAGCTTCCTTTTCTTTATCTTTCTATCTTCCCCGACCATCGAGATATAGATGCAATTTTCTAAGGCAGAGTAAAAGCCAAAGTCTTTGTCCCCCACTCCTTACTTACAAGTACAGTAATTTAAAAAGAAAAAGTCACAAAGGTTAAATAACACCCAAGGTAAGATTAGGGAAACAAAAAAATAACACAACTGAAAGCCACCATCTGATTTCTACCAGCACTGAGCAGATGATGAGGAACACTCTTTTGCCCAGATGTTTCAGCTCAAAACATAAATACAAATACAGCATGAAGGCAACATATCCAGACCGTTTCTTTTCTTTGCTTTTTTTTTTTCTTCAAGAATAGCTTTGCTTGGAACTTGAACTGACATAGTAGGGGCTTGTCCTGAATAACCTTCACAGGTTGTACATGTCTTCTCCCATCCTCAGGCACAAACAGAAGGTCCCTGCAATTTCTGTTTACTAAGGGGAGAGGGTGGGGTGGAGGTCAATTAGTTACCTGCAACCTTCATAAAAATAGAAAGCTTCCAGTTCCAAAGAGAAAGTGACCATATTTAGGGGGCACACTAGCCACTATTGGCACCGACTGAGGAAGGTTGAAATGCTATATTCAGAGGGTGACATGTTACAAAGAGCTCGGACATTGTACTAAATCAGGTCCTAGTCTGATCATCTTTCCAGCTGGTAGGAGGAGGAGATTGGGTTTACATCCCTCACCACTCTGGGAAAGGAACAAAAGCAAATGCTTGGCACAGCTGGGGGGGGAAGGAAGAAAAACCCTCCTACTTCTCCAGGACCCTGGGGGCCGCAGCTCTGCAGCGTCCCCTTTGCATTTCCTCGCAGTTAACTCACTCCAGTGGCCACAGAAGCAATTTCCACCAATTTCCACACCTGGCAATGGCCAGGGACAGGTTGAGGGGAGGCGTCCGGCTGGGAGCACCTCCTTTCCCTACCTCTCTGAATGGCTTCTAATTAATCCTTCTTAGTCACTGCCTGGGCAGGGAAGCTGGAATAGTAGCCAGCTCTGTCCTGAGGACATCACTACCAAATACCTGCAACCAATCTTCACACCTCCACACACACTGGTCATAACTTCCCTTTGTGGTTTTTCATAGGCCAGTTTTGGCTGTGCTTAGAAAAGCTTCCCACAGGAGGGCGGGAAGGGTTGGGTGCACCATCTCTCCCCAGGCTGGTAAGGGGAACACAACCTGGGCTGGCTCTCAAGTCTGCAGTGAGGAGGATTTGCACTCTCCTTCACCCTTTGATTGGAGACAGGAGTCTATTCTCATTTGGGACCCACTGAATTAAGAGCCCTGGCTCAGAAATATTCTTGGTTTGCTTGACGACCCTACTCCACACACAGACCCAGTGTAGACCCACACCTTTGGCCCCCTTGAGGCTAGTTTTAACCATAGCCGCACACTCTGCCCCAAACTGGGCATGGAGAAGTGAGAACCAGGAGAAAGGAAAGCCAGAGAGCAGAAAGAAACTCGGCAGTGAATCACAGCTCAGACAAGCATCTACTTACGAAATTTGGGGCTGGTGCTAGTTTCTGGGGTAGTGGTAGTGGAGGAGGTGGAAGAGGGTGAGGAGGAAGAGGCAGCGGCAGCATCCTGAAAGGGTGACAGGGTCCAGGAGGGAGTGGAATCGTGGAGGTAGGAGGAGGTAGCATACGCCGCAGTGGGCCAGGAAGGCATTGCTTGCGTACTGGGGGCTCCTGGCATCGGGGGTCGGGAGCCTGGCGTGGTGCTACTGAAGAAAGGGGCCGTGGTGGACAGGACCGTCGGAGGGGCAGCAGTGTTCCGTGCCGTGGTAGAGCGCGGGCTAGCCCGAATGGGCACCCGATGCCCAGGGAAGCGGGTGGGTGCCCGTGTGATGGTGGTCAAGCGGGTACTAATCCGGTTAGGCGTCCTGGAAGAAGCAGCGCCGCCGGCAGAGGGGGTGGCGGGGGACGTGGTAGAAGTGGTTGTTGTGGTGGTTTCCATAGCCTTGGGGAAAGAGCTGGGCTTGGAGAGGAAGAAGGGGTCCTGGCCCATTCCCTTGGAGTCCACCAGGTCCGTGGGCACGTACTCCTTGACGGAGCCTACCACGATCCATTTAAGCAGCATGAGGCTGAGCCCCAGGCCGATGAAACCGATGAACAGAGGCACCACGCACAACCACGTCTGCTGCCGGTTCCACACGATGCAGTCGCTACAGCGTAACTCCCGGGGGGGTTCGGCCGCCCCTTCTCCGCCGCCGTCCGGGCCCCCGCCCGCCGCTGCCGCCGCCGCCGCAGCCGCCGCGGTGCCCTCCTCGGCTGAGGCGGCGGCTGCCGAAGCGGCACCAGGTGGCGAGGCACCGGCCGCCCCTTCACTCATCCTAGGAGCCGGTCTTCACCTTCGCCCCCCCGAGGGCCGCGCCAGAGGCATGGGGCCGCGCGGGCCGGGCGCGGG